TGGGGTCTGCCACGCCTCCTTCTGCCTGTTACATACATTTCAACAAAACCATTATACCCTGATTTCCCATTGAAAATGGGTTCTGGGTATAAAAAGACTGGGGAGTGGCGCATGTCGGCAGCTCAACTCAGCTCACTTGATCCCCGGATGCGTATGCTGTTCCGAGGATCCTTCACATTTTGGAGAAGCTACGACACGCACGGTTTATATCCACGCTGGATCTAAAGATACTGGCAGATCCCGATGGCGGCGGATAGTCGAGAGTGTACGGTGTTCACTGTGCCGGGAAGAGGACTGTTTCAATGGCGCGCGATGCTATTCGGGTTGCATTCGGCGGGAGCGACATTCCAGAGGGCTCTGGACACGATTATCGGGCCCGACATGGAAACCCACGCGTTTGCGTATCTCGACGACATCGTGGTGATCGGAGCAACGAAGGAGCAGCACGTAGCCAATCTGAGGGAAGTTTTCCGCTGACTGAGAGCAGCGAATCTGAAGGTCAACAGGAAGAAATGCAGCTTCTTTCGGCAGAAGTTGGCGTATCTCGGGCACGTGATAAGCGATCGGAAATATGCGTTGTTACTTGGAGGTCTACAGGTTCGACGTAGTCACGGATCGCCTAGCGCTGAAATGGCTCAACTCCATAGAAAGTCCCACGGGCGCTAGAGTTGCAGCAATATCAGTTCGACGTACGTTATCGCCGTGGGAACTTTAACGTAGTAGCTGACGCACTGTCCCGGCAACCCCTGGACAGCTGTTAGTGGGCCGTAGAGGACAATCCCTTTGCAGGTGGATTGAAAAGATACGCGGGGGAGCCCGAGAAGTTCCAGGATTGTGTAGAGGAGAATGGGCAATTATACCGGAATCTGGGCCACCGGACAGACGAAAAGGATTTCATGCCGTGGAAGCTGTGCGTCCCCAGCAGCCTGAGGAACAGGGTGATGCTGGAGTGCCACGATGCTCCCACGGCCGGACATCAAGGAGTGAGGAAGACGGCGGCACGACTGGCGCAGAGATACTACTGGCCGGGCATGTTGCGAGATGCCGCCAAGTACGTAAGGCGCTGTGAAACGTGCCAGAAATTCAAATGCGTGCAACAAAAGCCGGCCGGGCAGATGCTGACCAGACAGGTGGCGGAGCTAATGGCGATCTTGTGCGCAGATTTCGTGGGACCCTTGCCTCGTTCCGGGTTCGTATACTTAGTAGGTTTGGAGTGCCCAGGACATTCGTCTGCGACAACAGTGTATAGTTTGCAAGCAGGAGGACAAATCGTACGGTGAAGACCATGATAGCGCAATATATCGAAGGCCATAAAAGCTCGTAGGACGAGCTGCTGCCTGAGATAACGCTGGCGGGCTTCACACCGGCATTCTTAATATTGGTATATTCATTCGTAGTTAGTTTGCCCGTTTCATTAACCTTTAACACTAACAGTAGTCAACCACAGTTATACTAATTAATAGTTTGAATGTGGCTTCGGCCCGTTCGCCGGATGAGCAAATCTCCGGCAGTAAAACTGTGCGGTCTCGAAGCGAACGCCGGCGGCAACGCTGGGCGTTCCTCGATCCGCGGTCTACCACCCGTAGTGTCCCCACTAACGTCATACATCGTGCCCCCGCACTTATAATAGCAATAGCTATCGATGATTTTTCAATTTAAATGGGATCATGCCCTGTTTTTTGTTGCGCACTAGACTTGAAAATTTCACTATATACTCTAGTTGACAGCGTTTCGGCTGTGAATGAGTATTCTGCAATCGGTATCGCCCGACTGCAACGTTCTTACTTGTTTTTTAATGTCCGTATATATAGCGCCGATATATTAAACTTATCTGCAAAAATCTATAACTACATCCCGTTATTTTTTATCGATTAAAAACCCTATCGAAAATCAGGTATAAAATGATATCTCCTACATCTCTAAAACCAGAAGTAAATATTTTTATACAATTTCAATTTTCGTTATATTTTGTATACCGGCTCCAAATTCACCAGAATCGCCAGTGAATGTCAGATGCCAGTATAGCTAATTGTGAATGATTTTATTTATTTATTTATTTTTTTTATGTCAAATATTAAATAGAATATGTAGTTCATCTACTGAAAGTTTGTTAATTAACAAAATGTTTAGCCAATTAACAAAACAAATTAAAAGACGAAGTTACTTTTGAGAAGGCTTTGAAAGAAGAAAGACGTACACAATTGTATACAAAATAATTGTTTCATGGGGACTCAACCGCTGAAATGACTAAATGCGCAGGAAAAGTGGTTACCTTTCCCCACAGCGTCAGCGTTACATGGACACTCAAGTTATGTTTATCTATTAATAATAAGAATAATACTTATATTTTGATAACAAATAATTTCTTACTATCTATCATACTGTTTATTTTTGTTTAGCGTGATGACCGGCAGCGGCCTGAGGATCAAGTACTAATGCGTGCGTTACGAGATTTTAATATTCCTAAAATTGTTACTGATGATCTTCCCGTTTTCATGGGTCTTATCGGTGATCTGTTTCCCGCATTAGATGTACCTCGAAAGCGGAATCCAGAATTTGAAGCTGTTATTAAACGATCGGCCATCGACCTAAAACTACAACCTGAAGATGGTTTTATTTTAAAGATTGTACAACTTGAAGAATTATTTGCAGTGCGTCACTCTGTATTTATAATAGGTTTTGCTGGAACTGGAAAATCAGAGGTATGGAAAACTCTGAATAAAACATATCAAAACCAAAAACGGAAGCCGCATTATAACGATTTAAATCCAAAGGCAGTAACAAATGATGAATTGTTTGGAATTGTAAATCCATCGACACGTGAATGGAAAGATGGGTTGTTTTCTATTTTAATGCGCGATCAAGCTAATTTGGGTGGAACTGGTCCAAAATGGATTGTACTTGATGGAGACATTGATCCTATGTGGATCGAAAGTCTCAATACTGTAATGGATGATAATAAAGTTTTAACTTTAGCTAGCAATGAACGCATCGCGCTAACCAAAGAAATGCGATTACTTTTTGAGATAGCATCCTTACGTACTGCAACCCCAGCTACAGTCTCTCGTGCAGGAATCCTGTACATCAATCCACAAGATTTAGGTTGGACCCCTTTTATACAGTCCTGGTTGGGTACACGAACGAACGCCAGTGAAGTAGCAACGCTTAATGTACTATTCGATAAGTACGTGCCACCATTACTTGAGCTGTTCCGAGGACGACTAAAGAGCATCACTCCCATTTCGGATATCGCCAGGTTGCAAATGACATGTTTCTTGTTAGATAGTACTTTAACTCCACAGAATGTTCCTCATGATTGTCCTAAAGATTGGTATGAGATTTATTTTGTTTTTAGTGTTATTTGGGGATTTGGATCATCACTATTTCAAGATCAGATTATAGACTGGCGTAATGAATTCAGTAAATGGTTTCAGAACGAATATAGGGCAGTCAAATTTCCTCCATCAGGCAATATATTTTCATATTATATACATAATGAAACCAAAAAATTTTTACCTTGGACGAATCTTGTACCAGACTTCGAACTTGATCCTGATCTACCCCTTCAATCAAATTTGGTTAATTCTGCCGAGACAACTCGCCTTCGTTTTTTTATGGATACCCTTATTGAAGAAGACCATCCGCTAATGCTTATTGGACCATCTGGATCTGGCAAGACAATATTAATGAATGCAAAATTGAGTACATTACCAACAGACAAATTTGCAGTTACTAATGTACCATTTAATTTTTACACAACATCGGAAATGTTACAACGTATATTAGAAAAACCTCTAGAAAAAAAAGCAGGTAGGAATTATGGTCCAATTGGTAATAAGAAAATGATTTATTTTGTGGATGATATGAATATGCCGGAAGTCGATAAGTATTTTACCGTGCAACCACACACACTCATCAGACAATTTATGGATTATCACCATTGGTACGATAGAGCAAAAATGACTCTTAAGGATATACATAAGTGCAACATTGTTTCGTGCATGAATCCATCAGCTGGATCTTTTACAATCAATCCAAGATTGCAAAGGCACTTTTGTTCCTTTGCCGTAAAGTAAGTCTCTTTATTTATTTTGTATACCCTGAATCCATTATAATGCAAAATCAGGGTATAATGGTTGTGTTGAAATGTATGTAACAGGCAGAAGGATGCGTGGCTGACCTATAAGTGTATATATTCTTGATCAGGGTGATGAGCTGAATCGATTCAGCCCTGTCCGTCCGACTGTCCGAATGCTTGAACGCCTCGATCTCACAAGATACAAGAGAAAGGGAAAACATTTCTTTCTTAGGTCCGTGTATACCATCCGCATATCGAGTTTTGCTTTATATAATCTATATCCTACATTTTTATACCCTGAACCCATTTTCAATGGGAAATCAGGGTATAATGGTTTTGTTGAAATGTATGTAACAGGCAGAAGGAGGCGTGGCAGACCCCACAAAGTATATATATTCTTGATCAGGGCGACGAGCTGAGTTGATTTGGCCCTGTCCGTCTGTCTGTCCGTCTGTCCGTCTGTCCGTCCGTCCGTCTGTCCGTCTGTCCGT